CCATCCTCAAGAAGGACCCCACGTCCGACCAAGCCTCCGCGATTGCATTTGCTCTTGATCCAATGGATAATGCTCACGACGCAGGCCCTATCCTTATCGTAAACTACGAGACTGGCGCTTTTATCCTGCTTATCAGGCCTATAAACTAGAGGAGTTGCCCGCTGGCTCTGCATTTCCAGCGCCGCTTGGAATGACACGCAGAAGCCTCCCTGCCAGGATCTGAATGCCGCCTCCAGGCCGTGCGCCCCCAACGCTGGCGCTGGAGCATCTGCGTTCCAAGTCGCGGGGCGGCCATATTTTGTGATAACCTCCCCCAAAGCATCCTTCACAACGCCATGAGGGTCATCAATCGCGTCAGGGCCGTCGCCACCCATGGGGGCTATGACCCCATCAACCTTCTCGCTGACCTCGGGGTCGGCGAGCAGGTCGCTCTCCTCGGCATTTGATTCCTCGGCTTCGCACGTGCCTGTCTCCTGGTCGAGACGGTCCTCCGCACCATCGTCAGCCTCTCCGCTCGCAAGCTCAAGTTGTTCAACCTCCGCGAGCTTCTCGCCATCGTGGTCAGTGTCATCGTGGTCTGATGGGTCGCCGTCGGCAATGGCCAAGGCAGCCTTTCTTCTTCGGCGGGTTCCAACGTGCGAGTTCCCCCAGCATGGATTCCTCGATCAGCTTCTGATCTGGCGCCATAGTCCATGACAAGGTAAGGCAGCGCCTGGTCACGGAAATCGTAAAGCGACGCGAACAACAGTTCAGACTGAAAATATCCCAAGGGGCGCTTCGGCGTCACAATGCTGCCTGCCTCGAGTCGGTCCACCTGTTGGATGGGCGGGTCGGGCAAGCCGCTGGCAACGTCATATACTCACTCACTCCTCCCCCCCCTCCTCCCCCTCCTCCTCCACCTCCTCATCCACCTCATCCTCCCCGCACCTCCCCTCAATCCTCCTCCGTCGTCCTCCCCCTTCGTCCTCATCGCACCCTCGGTCCCACTTCCTCCTCTCGGGGGGCAGGCGACGACAACGACGTGCCAGCGATTCGCCGATCCGAACCATCCACCTGCGCCTCGAGAAGATGGCCACTCCAGCCATGAATATGAGGCGTGAGGAAATACCGAGGGCCGTCTCCACCAGGCAGCACAAGGAGCGCACGCAAGTTGAAGCCCTGTTCCCCTCTGACGAACGCGATCCACTTGGCGTTATAGTGCCTGCCCCAGGCCAGCGCGGCAAGAGTACATGGTAGTGGCGCAAGTGGAATGGGCGATCGAATGGCACCGTCAACCGTCGGTGGAGTCGCCCACCGCTGCAGATCCTCAAGCACACGGTGCATCAACGAAAAACTCGATGTAGCTGTGTCGACCGATGCTTGCACGTGCGGCCGCACCTGCGCTGCCGAATGCGATTGCACGCCGTCTTTTAAAATAAAGCAGCGCCCAACGACGCGACTGGAACCCAATGGAGGCTTCATGCCTGGAGCGAAGTTCCAGGCGGATATATCATGTTGTTGACCCCCTCGATGTATCCAGTATCGCCTGGGTAAGCTTCGCACCATATGGCAATCTGAAGCCAGAGCAGGCCAGGGCATCTGCCCCTAGAGGAAACGGCTTGTCCCAACTCCACGGCAAACAGTTTCTTCACTTTACGTGCGCATATTTCTAGTTTGCAATCATCTGTGTTTAGCAGGTCGTTTGCGACTTCAAGTATATCCTCGCATTCGATGTCCCTGCCACGTTTTGCTATGATAAGAAGTCTTGCAGGGAACTTTTGGACCAGCATCCACGAAAATCTTCTGTCAACATCTGCATGGTGTCCCAACGTGAAAGTAAACATCGCCTCCGTGACATCGGGCCTGATATATTCAGGGACTTCTAGCAATATGTCCAACCACGCCTGTGAAGCCGCAAGCGTCTCGAGCTCAGCCAAAATATCCTCGTCGGCCCATCGGCAAGACCGATTGGTTCGCATCAAACACTGGGGGGTCGAACAAAAACAAGGACGAACTGGCGGCGAAAGCCCGAACGTCCGTTCGATTGGTCCGACTGGGACCGCCCTGGTAAGAACATGTTCCGTTATCATCTTTATGATGTTTCCCCCCCCTTAGACCCGTTTCCAGGTTTGATCTGAATCACTCGGCCCTTGCACTTCCCCCGTGTCAGAAGAGCGACCTTCCCTGGCCTTCGAAGGTCGCCGTCGATTTTGATGACCCCCAGCGGCTGCAAGAGCCAGTGGTAGAAGTGGTTGAGCGGCTCCCTTGCCCCATGGCATATCCTCGTGATGATAGGGATGAAACACTCGTCGGTGACGGCTAAGGCCGTATCCTCTCTCCATTTACTTTGTTGAGCCGAGTGCACTTGTGAAGATTCGATTGCCAACTCCTGAGTCCCGTCAACATCGGCGATCGGCTTGGGCGCGGCCTCAGCCTGAGCATTTTGAATACCAGCAGCACCGACGTTGGCCGCGGCTGCGGCCGCTGGTCTGGCAGGAGACTTCAAAGGCCCATCATTCCCATTTCCAATCATTGCTTGCCGTAGTTGCACAACGGGCGCTTTCAGGATGTAGGCCTCTGCTTTGTGAACCGATCCCCATCTCCCAGACAAAGCTTGCGGCGGCCTCCCCCGAGAATATTTTGAGGCATCCAATGCCCCATATAGTGAAACCCGCCTGTCTTGTATCTGTTTGCTGTAATCCCTCCAACAATGTAACATTTTGACCACTGTGCTGAAGTATTTTCTATCTGCATTCGACTGTCGCCTCAAAACTGTGCAGCACTTATCCGGCCATTTGAGAGACCGCTGCACCATCAAGTGGAATTGGTGCACCAGGCAAGCAGCGCTGAACACATTCACGGAGCCATCGCATTCTGCAGTTGCCATCGCACATGCCTTGAATTTATCCTCATCTCCACCGCTATCCGTTCCAATGAAAAAAGAGACCGATGTTATGATGCCAATGTCAGATAGTGTTTGCGATGCCGCAATCATCTTGTCATCGCGCCGCCATAGTGGACACCCCATACTGGCCACCTGCTTTGCGTACGTGGCGTACGTGTGTTCGGCGGAACTCCCGCGGACCTTCAAAATATCACCCAGACCAATGATCCCCGATCGTGATTCACCCAACTCTTTCCATGTCGTCTCGTTCGTCGCATCGATCTGAAACTACTGACTCCTCACTTCGCATGTGTGCAATTTTCGCTTGAACTTCATTGTGTTTGTCGCGTCGCCTCTAATCGTATGGCCCACAAAGCGGATCACCCTGCATGAGTGATCATTCGGATTTGGCATTGGACGCTCAGGCACATGGTAAAGCCATGTTTCACAGTCGGCGAACCAGGCTTTCCGCCAGGCCTGCACGCTAGCAACGAAATTTATCTCCCATTGGCATACTGTCGTATGGTCCACACCCATATTGTTTACCAAAGAAAACCTCCTGCTCGAAACTCCTGTGACGATCCGTTTGACAGCCATACCAAAGCCTCCCCTCGGGGAGAAGTATCGAGCGTCTTCCCCTCGAAAAAATAATTTCGCAAAGGCTGAGTTGTCACTGGCACCCTTGTCCTTCAAAGTTTGTCGCAGACACGCCAGCTTGCGAGTCAATCGTGCATTTTCCTCCACTAATTTCTTTTTGTCACTTTCCAATGTTTCATTTCGCTGCCGGAGACGAATCACCTCGGGCGCTTGGTTTCCATCGTCATCATCTTGACCCGATGCACTGCTGACTTCAATTTCTGGCGCTTGAATCAGAAAATCGTACACAGTGTGAATATCGACATGCTTGTACATTTTCTTGATATGATCTGCAACTCCTGGATAGAAAGGAACCCATTCATCCCCTTCGGACATACCACCACTGCCATTACCAAGTCGAATCCTCCTTTTTTTCAAAGCTTTTCTGCTCTCGCTGATCACTCGTAGCGTATTTTCTCTGTGGCATTCGATCGTTTGGCCTTGAAGTTGGGACACGCGGACAAATGGGCGAAGCGACGCAGCAAGTACACCTTCCATAAGGACCTTCCATATCAAAGTAAACATCTTGAGCCAAAATGGCTAAGGAGGAGGAACGTATACAACAAGGGCAATTGTTCGAATGTCTCTGGGGTCTCTGGGGGACTACAATGCGATATCCAAGTGCCAACTCTCCCGAGTATCTCAAG